TCCTCTATTACTGGTTTTAGTCCCTTCCTACCCTCCATAGGTATAGGGTATTGTCTGATCCTAATCGGATCTTCTGGTCTCTCAATTTGAATGCAAATCAGCTCCATATCTAACCTCCCAGCTTCTTCTTGCATATGCCAGACCATAGAATTTATCTTGCTTTCGTCCTCAGTGGTTAGTTTATATAAACTTACCACGAGTTGAGACTCTTGCGTGATTAAACTTATTCCCAGGGCTACCATCAGATCCCTCCCTAGTAGGTTATAGTCTGCCTCTTCCACCAGTAATGTATTCCCCAAGCAAAGCTTTGTTTCTGATTCTACCTCAATGTCCTTTATAACGGGTATGTTAAAATGCTTCCCCTTTGCCCCGATCACCATCATGGTGTCTTTGCTTTTCATACATCCGGGTGGCAACCACTGAACCGTACTTTGCTCTGCACCTGAATCTACTAGAAATGTTAATTCTTGTTTCCAGGGTCCTATTTTTAGTTTTATCAAGGGCTCGTTGGGTGTTCTGGACCCTAAATTAAAAAGCACCTGACACCTCTCATCTTCCTGGAAGATTTTCTCATCCTTCATCTTTTTCTTGCATTCCCTTCGAAGGTGCCCCCTCTGCTTGCAATAAAAGCACTCTGGATTATATTTATTGCTGTTTGAGTGCCTTCTCTGAGGAGGGTTTTGTCTTCTCTGAGGCGGATGACTCTGTGCTGGTTTTACAGAGTCTTGATCCCGTTCCTGTTTTTGGGCTTCCCTAACCACGGCTACCAGTACCTTTGCCTGTGCTTTCTGCTGTTCCTCATCTCTCCTCATATAAACCCTTTGAGACTCCCTTAGTAAATCATGTAACCCTTTTTCCTACCAGTTTTCTGGTTTCTCTAGCTTTCTCTGTATATCCTCCCACGATTTCACAACAAATTGCGTTTTTAGCAAGACTTTCTTGACTGGGGAGTCCGGATCTGTCCCAGAGTACATTCGAAGTCCTTTCCTCAGCCTCTCCAGCCACTCTGTGGGTGTTTCATCTTTCCTTTGGCATTCTCCGAATACCTTGCTGATATTTTGCCCTTTTGGCACCACACTCCCAACACCCAGTATTACCATATTCCTTAGTTCTATCTTTTTTATCCTATCCTCTCGTTCTGAGCATTCCATGATGGTCTCTGATCTGGCCACTTCTGGTCGCCCCATGTCCCTTGGGGATTCCTGTGATCCCAGTCCCGTATAGCTGCTTGTCTTATCATGTCCCTTTCCTCGGTGTTAAACAACGACCTTAGTATAGTGTTTATATAATTGTAAGTGTATATGCTTGTCCCCAGGAATTCATCTAGTCGTTCTGCCACCCCCATCGGGTGGTCCATCAATTTCCCCATCTCTTTCTTGAAGGCTCTTATGTCCCCAGTATTAATCAGCACGTTTACGTACCCAATTATTCCCAGGGCAGTGGGCACTTCCCTTAGAGGAAAGAGACTCTGTTTGTCCTCCTTGCTCTCACTATCATCATTAGTTACTTTCCTTGTTTTGTGCCATGTTCTCCTGGCTGGAGGAGAACTGGTTTCCCTAGTATGAGAGGTTTGCCACTCGTTTTCCGCTGGCAGCGGTGAGGGTGGGGGCTAAGAACTATCTTGTGGATACTGCGAAGCCAAAGCCTGCCCTTGTGGGAGCGGGACTTCTGGATGCTGCACTGGAAGTGGAGGTGCCTGTGCCTGCGTGGGTGGGTGCGAAGGACGCGTGGGTGTGAGAAAAGGAACCTGAGCTCACGGGGGATACGGAGGTGGAAGGTTATCTAAGGGTTCCCATGCTTCCCCCTGAATTGCAGCACTCCTGTAAGTTTTTACCGGGAATAATCCCATGCTAGCATATTCCCATAGCCTGGCATAGATACTTTCCTCACTTTCTGGTGAGTATTCATAGTACACGTAATCATGTAAGGCTTAGCAGGTCCATCTTTCGAAGGTGCCAAACATCGGCCAAATTAGATGTCATTTAATCTCTTTTCTTCCCCATACTTCTACGCAATAATGTATCATTCGTTCCTTGGATCTTCTTCGTCTTTCGGGGCAGTCATCCCAGTGTTCTAACATCCACCCAAACGGACTATTCCTCGGAATTTCAGGTAAACTGCTCCCTTGTTCTTTTTTAGGTTTACCCTGGGTTTTTCCCTGAACCTTACTCTTCTTTTGCCCCATCTTCCTCAAATCTACCTTTTTAGAATTTCCTTGCCGTGATTCTGTGTTGTATTTCAAAACGAGTCCTAAAGATTTCTCTTAATTGGTACTGTACCTGTGTTTAATCCTTATTCAGTGTTACCAGCCTACTAGCCTCACAGTGAACCGGTCTGTGGGTTTTCAGACTGGTAAGAAGCTCTCTATTCCTTACCTGGACTTACCAAAGTCCTGGACCAAAAAAGGTTTACCAGTTCCCGAACACCCGGGAACATATCCTCCCTTTCTGATCCTGCCCATGATCGAACCCCTGAACTCCCCCCAAGTTACAGGCTTTACATGTGAAAATGAGTTCATCTGCTTCCCCCTTGACCGACCCCTTCCCTCGTGGGAGAGGGGAACTGCAGTCTTGGGGTCCGCACTTGCTTTGTGATAGTATCATGTCTCATACACATGCTGAATCACACCTCACTCAACCGCACAATACTTATGGTCCTTTTTCCCGTGTGGATTCTTCATGCACGTCGACTTTTATGAGTGAAAAAAATTTTGCCGCAGCTTCGGAAACCCTCCTCCGAGTACCCAAGAGCTATTTTGGGCCCCTTTTTATGCCTTCCTTGATTGTGGCTCTGGCTTTTTAGTTCATTTGATTGGTTCTATGGGGTTTCCCAACCTCGTCAGGCTGCTGAAATCAGCGGGGCACCTCCTGATTGGAGAAAAGGAGCTCCCCAAACCCCTAAATCAGATCACGTAGGGGTCACCAAGATTGTTATAGGTAATAATCAATCAAGCCAAATTAATAATTAATAAAGATAAATTTTATTTAATGACTGAGATACTGTCTCCGATAGCCACAATCAAAAGGGACAGCGCCAAGCCCGGGATCAGGACTGGGTGAACACTGGTCAGACCTCTATCACATAGGAACCCCCTCTATTCATGAAAGAGTGTGTGTCCAGGCAGTTTTTATACACTTTAATTAACCTGAGGCCAAGCCTGAGGCCAAGCCTGAGGCCAAGTCTTTCTTGTTCTTTTCATGGTTAAACATATTCATGTTGTCTCCTTTCTCTTCATTGGGCTGGACAATGTAGTTCCTGGCAAGCGATGAATGCTGATGTTAAGGGAACCTGGTACTGGGATGCAAGTTCCCGAATGGCTCCTGCTATCTTGATCTCGGTACTTGCTGAGTATTCATCGCCCAGGTGGTTCTTGAGTAAGGACTCATGTCCTCCAGAGCCAGGCTCTTTCGATTGTAAATTAAGCTTCTCCTCGCTGCCATCTGTGGTTTTGCAATGGCATGCGGCAGTATCTCGGTATGAGGTAATCCCTCAGCTCCCGTGTCTGGATTTGTAACCCGTTTGAGTATTTCTTTCAAACATTATAACTTATATAATGTATATTTCTATCATATTGTACATAAGCACAAATTATCTAAATAACACATTACAGCTATAAGAATATAGTTTTTATTTCTGTTGTTAATTAAGCTTAGACATAGTAGTGAAATAGCTATGCTTGTGTTAAAATGCCTGCTTGGATAAGTTAACATCCAATGAACACAGGATGAGGACACCTGATACAGATATGCCACCTATCAGCATCTGCTGTCTGAAGACAGTGTGGACCAAGGCCCAAACTGGAAGTGATAAAGGGAAGGAGCCAAAACCACAGCCAAAAAACACACATGCTCTAAAAAGGCGGACCCAAGGAGGGGCCATGTAAAATAGTTCCTGAAAAATGTAAGCTAGTTTATGGATATGCATAAGGATCTATGAATATGCAAAGGGCTGATGTAATGGAAAAGGCATTTAAGGGGTATCCCCGAAGGTGATGGTGTGCTCTTGGCTGAGTGCCAAGATGCATCCGGCCGTAATAACCTTTGCTCTATGGTCCTTGTCTCCCATTATCCTTTATTAAACTTTTTTAATTTTCGCAGGAGAGTGAACATGTTTTTCACAATATACATTCAGTTTTAAGGGAATGTGAAGAAGATACCTTGCCCGTTAAATAGTAATATGCAATAATATGATTTATTAAAAAATAAAAATTCCACTCCTTGTGGTACCCAGCCAATCCCATCAGCAGCACAGTTGTGCTACTGATACACAATGCTTTGGTATATTAAATATACCAAATAATTACATTAGGTTTAAATCGCAATGAGACTATCCTCTGGAGCATAGAGCATAGGCTCGAAAAGATGGAAATAAATGGCAAACTGTGGATATTGATTGTGCAAGAGCAACAAGGATTCATTTGTGAAAGTAACACCATCAAAGCCCAAGACAGTTGTCTTGACATTGAGCAAACTGTCATTTTGAGATTCATCCCAATGAAAACCTGGAAATGGTACTTGTGTGTATTGGTAAAGGATGCGTTTGCATGAGAACCTCTTGTGATTTTGTATTTGTAGATACCATTACTGTACATACAAGTTGTCATGGTTTGACCCGGAAGTAAGGGTTTGGGAAGTTATGGTCAAACCAATCAGTGGCCAAATTTCAGATTAGCACCTGGTGTAGCCACTGGGGACTTGGATATGCCTCTGAGAACACACAGGGGTTAAAAGCAGAGCACTCCCAGAGAGACTTCCTCTTTGGAGTCCGGCAGGTGAGCAGATCGGATCCTCTCCCCTGCCCAGCTGTGTCTGGGTGGGGGAGGGGGAAAGGCCTGCGGCCTGAGAAAGGGAGAAGCCGGAGCCGCTGCAAGATGCAGAGGTGGAGGAGTTCCTGGGATGGTTTGGGCAGCCCCCCCGGAGAGAAGGATAAGTGGTCGGGAGGAGAAGGGGTGGGCAAGGTGCCCAGCTGCTGCCAAGACAGGCTATGCTTTTAACCCTTTTAGTGTTGAAACAATAGAAGCTGTAAAAACACTAATCCTCCTCAGCTGGAAATTGAGAAGGGATGGAGGATGGGAAAGATGAAGAAGGTTTGAGTAAGTGAAAGAATGCCAGCAGATAGAGCACCCGAGATGGAGGAGATGATTGGAGTGGCTTTAGCCGGACTTTTCTCTGACATAGCCACGGGCGAAGCCAGATTCTTACAGTTAATGCAGAGACTGCACCTTGGGGGAGGCGGCTGGCCAGAC